TATAATCTTGAGTAATTGATCACTTATTTCCTTTGCTGTCTCATCACCTTTAGCAGGTAATGCTGCAATCATAACTGGCAGAATTTTGGACATTGGTATCTAAAACATTTTATTAAACTTCAATCCTAAAAAAAATATTTAATTTGTTAATAATAATAATAAGCAAACCTTAAGCAGGAATCCACGAACTTGAGTAGCAACAGCCTCTTGTTCTTTAATATTTTTCATTGTTTTATGAATATCATCATATGTCTCACATTTTGTTTGATCAGCTGGTAAAATTGAGCCTATTATACTGCCAAACTCTTGTGAATAGACCACTTTTGACTGCAGTTTCATACAGTCTGTCATGAGAATGATGAGTCCTTTCCATTGTAATTCATCGGCAACTTTAGCAAAATGAACAATATTTTCGAGAAATATTTCAAGATTTGTTAGAATATCTTGATCTTTGCTACGAAAATGTCTAAAATGATGAAATTAATATCATTTGTCATACAATACTTGATTCACAATAATACTTGCCTGATTGAGGATAGACTCATGTCAGAAAAAGCGTGCTTAAATATTTCATATATACAAGAATTTTCAGAGATTAAGCTAAAAAATTGATGGAGGTGTTCGCTATATCAGATACCAGTTTTACGCTTTCCTGTCGTTTCGAGTTCTTTAATCTGCATCATTAATTATACCAATTCCTTAAAAGTTTTGTTAGTAGTAAATGCCTCTTTCCTTTCAAGTTTTGCTAGTTCAAGCCAAATTTTGGCTTCATCCGAACTAGCAGATGCACAATATAATTTTTTTAGATTTTGATTTTTAAGCAACTTGACAAACTCCGTTTGAAAATAACTATTTGGAATATATTTAGCCGTGGCATCAGTATGTCGTTTCTAATAATATAGTGAAATGTATGTTCAATTTAATATATTTATTATTATAAAAAGATTAATATTCTCAATACTTACTGTTTTAATGGCATCATTAAGCTGAGCATTAGTCGTAAATTCAAAGCAATTATCACAAATGCTAGATCTATTTGTGGTAAAATTTAAACATTTCGTGCTAAATATAGTAACAACTTCTTTATCAAGCTTCCACTGATAGTAGGCAAGTAAAGTTCTTTTAAGTAATACTCTTTGATCTTTTTCTAAAACATCCTATGAGTAATTCTTCCGATTGTGGAATTTTTCTGGAAACAGCTCATATACAACAGTATCAACCCGCCGGTCACCACCATGCTGTAAAGGATTTAAAAGGATATAATTATGATATTTTTTGTCTGTTAAACCTGAACAAGCAACATTGATACAAGGTGTTTCAATTGTTCTTTGTTCTTCTTTATTGAGTTTCCAAAAACAGTTCAATGTTGGTTGTCTTTGAACTGTAAACTTGCACCATGTATTTTTTGAATGAATGTCTAAATTATGAACACGATAAGCTTTATCAAGCTTAATTTCTTTATTACACATGCATTTTACAGTTTTTTCATCAATAATTTCTTGAAAATGCGAATGTTCTTTTAGTTTTTTATAATGTTCAAATTCTTCACAGGTTTTAAAATTGATATTATCAAGTGTATAGGTAAGTTTTTGTTTTTTTTGTTACTGGTTCTTTTGTAGTATGCTTAGTGAGACATTTCTTTAACTTAACCATTTTGTTTTATTTATGTTACGCGTAAAAAATTTTATCCATTTATATTATACGTGCATCTTATTTTATATTTAAAAAAATAAGTAAATCTTATCTTATAAATTATAAGTAACATTTCGAAAAAATGTGTAAACCTTACCTTATAAATCATAAGTAACATTTTGAAAAAATGCGTAAATCTTACCTTATAGTTACTAATTATATAAAAAAATCTTACCACAGAATTTCAATTACATTTTTTAATTATTAAGTAAATTTACCTTATAAGCCTAAGATAGTTTTTTAAAATTTTATATATAAATCTTACCTTAGATTTAGGGGTGACTTATATTAGAAGTAGGTGGGATCCTGTATTGATTCACGAATTTTTGATTTTGCTAGTATTAATACTCTGCAAGAAAATACGTTCCAGTTTATGAAGATCAAATAATTGCCTATAATCTTTTTAAGTGTCGAGGGTTTAAGGTTTTTAATGTGATCAGAAGATTGTCTATAGGGAATAGCCAATTCTGCAGCTTTAATGATGCACTGTTGAAGATAATTCCAATAAAAGTTTAAGTTGTGAATTGATGATAGACAGGCCAAGGTCATTTGTTTGAGATGACACGATTCTAAAAAATTGTTGGTTTTCTGTAAAAAGGTTTCCCATTGTTGATCATTGATATTGTCATATAGAAAAACAGTTTTTTTAATTGCTTTAAGTGAAATAGTTCTTTGAATTACCTCTGGAATAGTAATTTTAGTAACAACAATGGAATGATCAATGTATTGTGGGTTTACACTTATGACTTCTGATGAGATAATACCATTTGAAAGGATATTAGAGAAAAAAATGTGATCAATACGAAAGGAAGTTGATGTGGGAGAATGATTGTACATGGTATGAGTAATATCAGCGTTATCATGAATAAGGTCACATGAGGTAAAGATATTATAGGATTTAAGAAGAGAGAAAAATTCATTTAATTTAGAAGGATTAATATAACAAGTTGGAACAGCGTTAAAATCGCCAAGTGTATATTTATTGTAAAAGCTTGTTAGATAATTTCAGATACCTCTTTGATGGTTTGTGTACATATTTGACTATTAGAACTTAAAATGTATATGTTGATAATTCTAATTTTGAAGCGAGCTGGGGAGAGACTTATAAGGTTTTTGCTTTAGAAATTCATTAAAAGGTGTATCATTTCATTTTCTACTTTCTGTAAAGACAGAATCATGTAATTTCTAGCTTTTAATAGCATCTTAAATTTAAATGAGTAATTCCTTTGCGCATTCAGGATTTTTTCCATAGATAGGAATAGTCAGGATACAGGATTCTTCTTGTTTTCTCCTTTACTCTTGAAATAACTTGTACAGTACAAAGAATAGCCTTCTTCATACTATGCTGGAATTTTCGATGTATTCAGTTCGTAATGATTAATCTAAAATGATCTCACTTCTACAGGTTTCATACTCAATATTATAATTACATTTGTGAGATCCTTTCTAGTAAGAGTTTTAGAAGTATCAATATTTTGAAGCCTTTTAGATACCCTTGCTAAGGAGCAATATATGGGAATTCTATATGGATTAGCCATTTGTTTCTTAATTTGTTTCTTCTGAATTTTATTAGACTTTTGAATATGTTTTTGATCTTTAGCAAAGGTATCAATAATTGCAGAATCTATACCGCTTTCTGCTAATTTCATATGGAATGTTAACTGTCGTGGAGACACCAGCAATGATTTCATTTTCATCATTACTTTTTAGACCCAATTTCCAATGATTAGTGACAATGTTTATAAAATCACTAGTTTTAGCATAGTATTTTGCCTTTTCCTCTATAGTGAGTTTTTCCTTTTTCTTATCTGATACGAGAGTCTCTATCTGCTCTTTACTAAATGAGCGTCTGACAAGGGCAACTTTAATACACCTGCAGGCAGTGTTGTCATGGAACATTTTTGGGATATGGCCTGGGACATTGGGACTTAATATGGAACATTTTGGGACATAGTGTGGGACAGTCTCAAAATGTTTGGGATATTGAAAATGTACATTACTGCCTGCAGGCCATCCAATCAGGAAGTAAAACATCTAGTTCAGGAGTATATTCGCTTAATTGTTCTGGAGTGGAATCAGTCGAAAAATTATACTTTTTTAGTAATTGATCCAAGATGTTGACATAGTTTTTAGTTTTGGATTTTTGTGTCTTTGAAGCAGATTTTGCAGTAGTTATATCAATAATAACTAGATTGTAAGTGTTACCTAGTTATACTAATCTATTTATTTTTCAATTCGAAAAAATTTCTTAATCCTAGATGATGTTAAAGTAAAGCAATTTTGAATATCTATAATAAAAGTGAAGATGAAGTTTTAGGATTATTAATATCAAAATTACCTTGTATAGATCATTTATCCTGTCAATACATCAAGAAAGGTGGTTCGATTTGTGGGAAAGGATGCTGGCATGCTTCAGAATGTGCTAGACATTATAAAATCTGTCCTAAAAAAATATGCCCTGTCTGTAATAAGAAAACCTATTCTGATACTGGAATCTGTAACACACATAGTGGAATTTATAAGAATGTCTGGTGTGAAGGTAAAAAAAATAAAATGAAATCAGGTATTAGTCGAGATACCTAGCTGAAATGTTGAATATTGAGCTGAAGTACTGTTTTTCCTACCCTATAGAATCAAAGAGTTCCTGAATCTCGTTATCTATTTTTAGCTTATATGATAGAAGCTCTGAAGCACCTTTATCTCCAAAATCAGTACCATTATATGACTGGTGATTAATTTTGTATGAATAATCCCAAACCTGCTGTTCCTTGGAACCTATTTTTTTTCAATTGCTTTTAACAGTATAGCCACATCAATTATCAGCGATTGCATTAATTACTTTTATAGCCAATTTAAGATCTGGTATTTGCTTTACACGAGACTTAAAACTAAAAGTAATAAAGATTGGTTTCGTATTTCTATAAATCTTTCACAAGACTATGTAAATAATTCTGATACAGTATTACCAGAAAGAATATGCCTGTCATAAATGTTAGTAAAGCCTAATACTTGAAAGAGTTCTCTTATAACGTTCTAATGATTTGCCAAATAAGTTTTCACAAGTCTTCTGCTACAGACTTTTCAAAATTATTTTCAGTTTTAAAACAGGTATTCTCCTACTGTGCAAAGTCTTTAACAACTAAACCTTTTATTGCGCTATCTTCATTGCATCCTTGTCTCTGAAGATGAGATAAGCATAGAAAATGTTTTCGAGATTCAGATAGGTTAAAACATTCTACGAACATCTTTTTGCAAAGATTATCCTAATTATCATTACTCATATTTTTACAGCTATAAATATTTTGCATTTAGAATTGTTTAAGTGTCATAGTATCTATGATAGAGCATTCTTGATCAAACTTAAGGTTTTCTGCTTTTTCAAAAATAAGGTTCTGGAAAATAGCAACTGCATTGAAATCTGTTTCTTTGACAACTAATGCTTCAACCTTAACTTCATTATGAACCTTTTTACGATTTCCTATAATTTCTCGGCTCTCATCCATTTTTATAAGTTGGAGAGAAGTGCCAGTACTGGCTATAAGACTACAAAGCTTCTCTATAAAATATCTCACAGAAAGACATTTCTGATACTCAACTTTAATGAATGTTATTACAGCTAGAAATTGATCAATTTATAAGAAACAGCATTACTATCTCATTCATGATATCCCTTTATTGCTGTAAGTAAATTATTAGGTCGAGCACTTTCAAGTTTTGCTCAAATATTTTCATGACCTGGTGGTTGAAAAAGTTCATTAGAATTTTTTTGATAGAATACAGAAATAATATAATGAGAACAATCACGAATTCAATAAAGCATTTGTGCAAAAGCCTCAACATGAACTGGAGTAGCGATATTTGTAATAGCTATAACTATATCGAAGTGGCCTGTAATTTCAAATGATATTCCAGCCTCTATGATATTTATATAGGCTATGCAGTTAAGCTCACCCAAGCAATATTAATATTAGAAAAGTCTTTTTGTCTCTGCTTCCCATCTATATCTCCATAGTATGCACAGGCTCTAATTGGCGAATTATCAGGTTTAGATAATTTAGATGCTTTTTTCATTAACGCTCTAGCCATCACTGCTCTAGTAGATACGAATGCTACAAGTTTATCCTATTTCAAAAGATCATATCCTATTCGCATGACTTCAGCTCTGCTATTCAAATCATAAATAAACTCAACTGTCTCGCCTATACGAGGCTGATACTTATTATCGACTATATGAATATTTTCACCATGATAACCTGGAGAAAGGTTAGTGTTGATGTATTTGCAAAGGCATCCATAGCCAAAACATGTCTCACAGATCTTAATACATCACGTATTGCATTCTCAGATTCTTGAGAATTTGTATCACTAGACATTTGACGCATAATAGCATTGACTTCATCAAGAATAGCTACAAATAGACAGGCTGTGAACTCTATACAGAAAAGACTCTCAACTTGAATTATGATAATATCCCACTCATTTATAAATAAGTTTCCTTGTATATTTTGGTAATTGCAAATTTGAAAACCAGATGCTTTAGCTCATCAAGTTTCGTTTTTGATTTATTGCTAAAAAACTTTCGATAAGAAATCCAGATATAATATGATAAAGAAGAGATATCATGCATCTTATCCTTTAACGCTATAATAATCTCTCTTAATGTAGTAGTTTTCCATGTCCCAGGAGGAGAACGAATAAGTGTTGTCATTTCTTCGGTACTCAAAAAATTAGAATATACTTCTGGAACATTCCTTAATTTTTCTACATTAATCATTGTCTCTGATAATTTTACAAGAAGGCGTGGATTTGATATAATATTACCTATTCTTTCAACTATTCCTCTCTTAGGTTTTGCAGAAATTTTGATTACTTTTCCAAATACTAATCCCTTATGATCTGATTTATAGTTTTTTTGCCAATAACATTTGAGTATAAAACATCTATTACTTTGAAGGAAATTATATAACTGGTCTTTTTCATGTATAATTTTACAAATAGGATATGCTTGATATGATTGTGCTTGAAAATGAACAAATCCATTCCCAATCTTTCTGATCTCAAGCCATTTATATTTTGCAATAACTTGATCAGCTTCTTTACTCAAGACAGATTCATCTTTGATAGACTGAAATTTTACTTTTTCCTTCTTAGGAGAAAAGGTTTATAGTCAGATTTCAGAACAATAAAATTTGGGTTGAACTAAATAATCCTCTAGTTTGTAATATCCTTTCTTAATAGAAGAAACTGCAGGTCTTTTAACTCTATCATTATTTGCCGATCCAAGAAGTCAAAGACTAAAATGATGCTTATAAAGCTCAAGATCAATAAACTCTGAATATGATTTCCCAACACGATTAGTGACTTTTTCTACAAAACCCCTGAGATCTCTATAATCAATAAAGTGGCATCAGAACATACAATATGCCAACTGTATTTATCATTATTAGATGAACTAGCTAAAGTGAAAGCATTTAAAGTTATGAGATGTTTTAAATCAGAGTATAAAATATCAACGCAGGCAATTAAGATTCTGGATAATAAATCATTACGAGAAATTTTATATCTATATAAGGAAGGGAGTTCAGGATTCGTGAGATTGGGCTTCTGCCTCGTATCAATATTCAGAATAAAATGAAGAGGCAGGTTACCATTAATACATTCATGAGCATCGGGCATCCCATAAATCTCAGATGGATAATCAATAATTGTAAAGCTCTTTTTGCCTATCTGAATGATATATTTATTAAAAATCTCTTTAGTATAATAGGCATCTAGAAGAGCGATAGCATTTTTACTATTAGACAAATATTAGAAATACATATAATCATTATAGCCTGGCTCAAAATCAAGGTTTGCTACATCTGAAAAACCTTATTGCTTCATTTATTTCTTTAAGATTGGGTTTGAATTTTTTTTTGCATAAGTATCATAGTAGGTAATGTTGTTATAGAACATTTTTGGGACATAGCCTGAGACATTGGGACTTAATGTGAGACATTTTGGGACATAGTGTGAGACAGTATCAAAATGTTTGGGACATAAAAATTTACATTACGGATGATAGGTATTGTTAAATGAAATAACTTTCGACTTAATAATTACATTTCGATGAAAATATGATCATTAGAACCGTCTCATCAAAAGCTCTTCAACTAATATAAAATAAGGTTATTGGACCAATAGGAGCTGAGATAATTCGAAAAGAGTGATTGCTATTATACTTCTGCAGATCATTACTAAAGAAAGCCGTAATTTCTTAAGCCGCAGCCCGATGATCAAAATGACTGAAACCTCGGAAATGATGATAACGTCGTTAACTAAGTTTATATAGTTGTTTAAGTTTACTTAGTTTCTTATGTTTATTTAGTTAAATTAGT